CCCGCGCAAACTGCCACAACACTCACAGCCCCCTCTGCCGGGCAGGCTCGGCCCCGACGGCCCGCGGCGCGCAGGCGCCCCCGCCCCGCACTGACACGTGACCTCCGCTACGCGGGTTGGGCGGTGGTGGCCGGGGCACGCGCGCATGCGCCTAGGCATCCTGACCAGTTGGGGGAAGCGTAGGGAATGCTTAGTGGTTTCTGCCGAAGCTGTGGGGCGTGACATTTTTTTTTTTCACCTAGGGTTAGGGACAAGATTTTTGTCATTTCTTTGCATTTATTACTGTAAAATGGTCCTGGTAACAGAAATCCTGGGCTCTTGGGTTACCGAGAAAGTGTCTTGAATATTACCAAATATAAATAGTCCACAGTATGAGCTGTTATTTTATCAATGATTTCACCTCCATCTCATCTCCTCACACGAACTCCTGGCATCGTTGGCTACTTAGGGGCTTAACACTACCATGGCATGCGGTTTCTCGGGCTGTACGCTGCACAACGCATGGCAGCGCCACCTACGTAGATGATTATGTAACAGTGCCCCCTCGAATTATAAACTGGCCATTTATCCAAAATTACACTTTGGCTCATAAAGTCTGAACTCTTTCTCGTCTTCGATGATACTCCTTCCCAACTTGCCTCCATTCTCTCAGTCACCCTCCAGACAGCTTGCCCAGAATCTGCCTTACCTTCCAGTCCGTTCTCATGAGTCCAGTTACTCGATGACACCCTCCCCCCACCTACACAAACATACACACAGTTTCCCCATAACAGTTCTTAGGAGACCTCCAGCCGGTAGAAATCATTAGCAGTGGCCCCTCCTGATTTTCTGTCCATCCTGCCTAACCCGGGTTCTGCCATTACAAGTACCCCCCCCCTCAAATTTGCCAGAGGGTGTGGTGAGAGACAAAGAAGAGAAAGCACCCCTCATAGGGAATGGTCACCATGCAATCCATTCTCCTCCATTTCTCTTTTTAGCATTTGGGGCAGGTGCACACCCGGCCAGGCTGTCTCTCAAGCCACAGGGTCTGGACTCAAAATTGGTGGTTAGCTATCAGGCTGTGGACTGGCTCCAATAAGTGCTTTATTTATTTTATTTCTTTATTTTTTGGAGAGAGAGATTTTTGCTATAGGCGTGCCCCAGAGAGAAAAAAAGCAAGAAATCACCTCCAGGGATGGAGTGGGGGGATGGCAATCCCGAAATCCCCTCTTCCATTCTCCTTTCAGGATTTTGGGCATGCTTGTGCCTGCACCCAGAGTAAGTTTCAGGCTGCTGGGTTCAGCCCTGTAGGAATCCAGCAATGTAACCATTATGCCATCTGCTGGTCCCTAACTTCTTCTTTTTTTTTTTTTTTTTGGTCCCTAATTTCTTTAAAGTCTGCTGTAGGGTACAGTGAAGGAAAGTTAGAGAAACCGTTCCCCAACGGCCATGCCACAATTTCTTCTCCTCCATTCTCCTTTCAGTTCAATGGGCACATGCACTCAGTATGATTTTCAATCTGATGGATCCAGGACTCAAACCACAGTCATGTGAGATCCAGTGGCCTTGACTGGCACGCCACCTGCTGGCCCCCCATAAGTAATTTTTAAAAGGTCTTAAAAAAACTTACATGAACAGAAAAGATTACCCTGAAGTTAATTTGATTTCCTAAAACTAATATTCAAATTTATTAGAAATCCACAAACCTAGTTCTTCCTTAATTTCAACCAACACATTTTACAATTCTATTAATAAATTCAGTAAATTACAACAATCACTTCTTTGCTACATTAATAACTTAATGAAAATCCTTTGATATTTGAAAGTGCATTTATGAATTTAGTAATTTATTTTTCTTTTATTCATTTATTTTATTGCCACAGTACTCATGCACTCCCCAGTCAGGTGTGACAATCCTCTTTCCTCCACTTTTCTTTTTTTTTAAAGAATTATTTAATTTTATTTATTCATTCATTCATTCATTCATATTATTTTATTTTAATTTGACCAGACCAAGACACAGAGAAGGAGAGAAAGTGAGAAAGCAAGCCACCATGTCTGGAGCTCAAACCGTGGTTGGCTATGTGGGAGTGTCCAGCACCTTAACCACCACGCCACCTGCTGGTCCCTTTTCCTCCACTTTTCTATTCTGTCAGGATTTTGGGCAAGCACACACACAGGTCCAGCATGTTTCATGCCATTGGGCTAGGATTCCAACCGTACAAGCCATGCACGACCTGGCTCCCAATGTACCGTACTTAACCACTGCCCCAACCAGGCTGGCCTTTCTTCTCAATATCACAGTTTTATTTTAAACAATTATTTAATTTTATTATTATTATTTAATATACTATAAGACACACATGCTCACCAGAGAGAGAGAGAGAGAGAAAGTGAGAAAGCATGCTGCCAGTTCCAGGACTTGAACATCAATCGGCCATGTGGGAGTCTAATGCCTTGACCAGCATTTCGCCTGCTGGCCCCACCATTTTCTTTTCTTTTCTTTTTTGGAGAGGTTTTTGCTATAGGGCGCATGCGCTCGCCAGAAAGACAGAGAGAGACAGAGAGACAGAAAGTGAGAAATCGCCCCCCAGGGGGGATGGCCATGCTGCAATCCCTTCTCCTCCATTCTCCTTTTGGGATCTTAGGCACGCACACGCACCTGGCTGGAGTTTAAGCCACTGGGTCCAGGACTTGAACCACAGTTGACTCTATGGGAGTCCAGCGACATGGCCATTACACCATCTGCTGGGCCCGACAATTTTTTAAAAATTTTCAGAGTATGTGCAATGGAGAGAGAGAGAGAGAAAAAGAGAGAGAGAGAGAGAGAGAGAACCCCTCAGTGAGTGTGGTCACACTGCAATTTCTTCTCTTACACTTTGGGGCATGCTCACATGTTTACACTCACCAGCATGTTTTCCAAGCACCAGACTGGGATTCCAACGACATATGGCCATATGGAATTTGGCTCCCTTAACCACTAGGCTCCAGAGTTTGCCCAAAAGTATCACAAATTTTCAACTAACAAAACCTTTCAAATCCTTGTGTAATTCCTGCAAATGTAATAAATTAAACTTATAAATACACTGAGTCATGGGTTACTTTTAAATATATCAACATAAATTTAAAATTTTAACTTAAAATCACAAGCCTAAATTTATTATTTAAATATGTAATTATAATTAGTACTTTTCAAGAATATTAAGACTTCTCAAAATCACCTTAAACATTATAAGAATTCCAAGTATCTTATAGATTTACATAGATTCCTTAATGCAAAGATATTAACAATGGGAATTTGAGAACACTTTTTTTTTTTTCACAATGAATCAAATTTCCCCACAAGGGGAATTTTATTGATTATTCCCTCACAAAAAGACCAACTGCAATCAAAAGAGGTGAACATTCACCTCGAAATTTTATTGTCTTCATAATAAAAACAAAAGATGATGCTTAGAACTGATCATTTGACCCTTTCTCTTATCTCCTCCCAGTTCAAAATGCTTGCATCTCTTGGGAACCAGCAGTTAGTGTAATGGCTATGTCACTGGACTCCCACGTAGTCGACCGCGGTTCGTGTCCTGGACCCGGTGGCTTAAAACTCACGCCGGGCGTGTGTGCGTGCGTGCCCAGGATCCCGAGAAGAGAATGGAGGAGAAGGGATTGCGGCGTGACCATCCCCCCTGGGGGGTGATTTCTCGCTTTCTGTCTCTCCGTCTCTGTCTGTCTGGCGAGCGCATGCGTCCTAGAGTAAAAACCTCTTCCAAAAAAAAAAAGCTTTCATCTCTTAATAGCCATCATTCTCGCAGTCTGCACTTGGGCTCAACACATTCAAGCCTCAGCACAATCTTCTTTGCCGTTTTTGCCTTTTTCTGGAAAACAGGCTTAGTCTGTCCACCACAGCCATTCTGCTTCCTGTCATAACCACCATTTTCCTGAGCATACAGATACTCTTTGCCCTTTTTGTATTGTGTCACTTTGTGCGGTTGGTGCTTGCCACGCTTCTTACAGAAAGTCCACCAGATTTTAGGGATGTTCACTGTGGGTGTATTATTTGCCACTTCTAGTTTTTTCTGTTTCCTCAGTAGAAACAGGTATTTTTGACAGGTTCTCTCTGGGTTGGGAATCTCTGGCCCTGGCCTTCCAATTAGCTAGGATAACAGGCGTGGGCATTCGCTACTGTGTCCAGCAAGTTCAAGTTAGCCTGGGAACTGAACCCAGGCCTTCCATGCAGTATGGTTCCTCCCAAGCAGTGGCACTATCTATGCACCACCGTGGCTGGGCCTCTAATCTTTATTCTAAACATCATAGAGGTTTAAAGATGTTTAGTGCTCGCTGAAAAAACAATGTTGTTGTCCAAATTTAGGAGTAACTTGGTCCAGTGATTTGGAATACTTATTCCCTTTTCGGTCTTCCTTGGCCAGCAAGCCAGCTAGATTCTTGCCTTTGATAGTAATGGAACAGTGATCCCTCTTTTCTCCACAACTCTAGGGCTAAATAGGT